TCCAAGCTTGTTTTAATCGGGGAGCTTCACCAAACACTGTCCACCGTGGGTAACAGTATTCGGCTTCACAGCAACCACGAGTTACCTCTGTACAGCAAGTGGACAGACCAGGGTTACACGACCTAGAAGAATGTTTCACCAAAAACAGTTAAAGGCAGGTCTGAGGGCCGCAGAGTAGAATCACCCACCTTTGGCTTGGGAGCATGGCTTTCTGTCTGTTAGGCCGACTGCTCGCTCTCTCTTTTTCTATGCTGTTGGTGGTGGTAGTGTCCAACACTATTACCTTCTCAAATCTCTTCCTTATAACTTCGCTATTGTTTTTGCTTTATAAATCATCAATCTATTGTTTACTGATCCAATGCTAATAACTGTTTTTTCTTGTGTGTACCGTCGAATCGGATCCGACTGGCACAGGAGGAGGTTACCCTCTTTCTCCAGCGGAGCATCTGGTGGATTCGAACCATGCACCTTTGGATTGCAGCGCTAACTTGCGGGTGGTTCTAATCCACTAGCTACTTTGCAAAGGAAAGGTGGGCAGTTTCCTCCAGTGCCATTTACAGCCTTTGAAATCCCATAAAGAATCAGTTATGAGTCAGTTCCGACTGAGCGGTGACGAGTGAGTGAAGACATGTCAAATGCTGAACCATGATACAGTGTTCAATTCATAAAGAGTTATTTAGCAAGGGATCTCCGGTGACCTAGTGGCAAGACGCTGCACTGCAATCCCGAAGGCATACAAAGATAGGGAACTGCCAGAAGTTCAAGCAAGATTTAGAAGAAGCCATGGCACCAGGGTTATCAATGCTGATGTCAGATGGATCCTGGCTGAAAGTAAATACCAGAATGTCTATTTTTGCTTTATTGACTCTGCAGAGACATTTAACTATGTGGTTCATAACAAGTTATGGCTAACTTTGAGAAGAATGGGAGTCCCAGAACACTTAATTGTGCTCATGGAAAACCTATACCTAGACCAAGAGGCTGTTGTGTGAACAGAACAAAGGAACACTACGTGGTTTAAAATTAAGAAAGGAGTGTGATACACACCCATGTTTATAGCGGCTTTGTTCACAATAGCAAAGAGCTGGAAACAACCCAAGTGCCCATCAACAAACGAATGGATAGAGAAGCTGTGGTATATTCACATAGTGGAATACTATGCAGCACTGAAAAACAAGGAACTCATGAAATACTATGAAAATAGGTGACCCTGGAGGACATTATGCTGAGTGAAGTATCTCAGTCACAAAAGGACAAATATTGCATAGGACCACTGTTGTAAAACGGACCGACATCAGGGTTGAGGGAAGACAGAGAAGGAGGGGAGGAATGATGTATACCACATTGAAACAGATGAGGGAGAGAACTGTTTAAAAGGGATATATGAATAAGTAGTCTTGTCATGACAGAAGTCCAGAGTGAAGGCTGCATAGTGGAGTGGACTTAGGGGGAAGGAATTGTATAACAATGAAAGAGTTTATCTTTTCAAGGAGAAGAGTGAATTGGGAGGAGGTGGTGGGCAGGGAGAAAAGTGTATCAATGAATGGCTGGAAAGCCTAAATCTCTGTAAGCTTTCATTAAAATTAATTTAAAAAATTAACACACACAAAAAAAGGCATGTGTTAGGGTTGTAGTCTCTCTCTATACCTATTCAATGTGTATGCTGAGCAAACTGCTTGAGAAACTAGGCTCTATGAAGAGGAATATGGCATCAGGATCAGAGGGGGACTCACCAATAACCTGCATTATGCAGATGATACAACCTTGCTTGCTGAAAGTGAGGAGGACTTGAAGCACTTGTTGCAGAAGATCAAGGAATGCAGCCTTCGGTATGGATTGCATCTTAATGTCGGGAAAACAAAGATTCTCACCACTGGACCCACCGGCAACATCATGATGGATGGAGAAAAGATTGAAACTGTCAACAGCTTCATCTCACTTGGATCCACAATTACCACCCTTGCTATCAGCAGTCAGGAAATGAGAAGACTGGGAAAGTCTGTAGTTAGGGACCTCTCCAAATTATTGAGGAGTAATGACGTCAGTTTGAGGACTAAGATGTGTCGGATTCAGGCCATGGTCTTTGTGATCACTTGCTATGCATCTGAGAGCTGGACAGTGAATAAGGATGACAGAAGAAGAATTGACACCTTTGAGCTGTGGTGTTGGAGAAGAGCACTGAACATCCCATGGGCGGCCAAAAGAACAAACAAATATGTCTTGGAGAGGGTGCAGCCAGAGTGCTCTGTGGAGACAAGGATGATGGGGCTTCGTCTCACACACTTCAGGCGTGTTACTAGGGCAGGCTATTCTTTGGAGAAGGACATGATGCTTGGAAAGGTCGAGGGTCAGCGAAGCAGAGGAAGACTCTCGACCTGGTGGATTGACGCGGCAACTGCTGCAGTGGGCTCTAATATATTACAAAGTGTGAGGGTGGCGCAGGATGAGACAGTGTTCAGATCTATTGTTTATAGGGTTGCTATGAGTCGTACTCAACTCGAGGGCACCTTACAACCACACTGCTTATGTTTTGTCTCACATACTCTGTGGATGTTGTTAGGGGAAGTCATTCCTTGGACATCATGCAGGAAGGGTGAGCAAAAGGAAGCAAGTCCCTCAGTGAGACAGAGCGGCACAGTGACCGGAGTGGCTTGAGTGTGTGAGTTACGGTGAGGATGGCACAGGCTGGACAGATGTCACCTGAGTCACACTTGACTCGACGGCACCTAACGACAACAGCATCGCTTGCACAGCCCAGGCTCCCTGTGTCTCTTCTGTAAAACACAAGCTTCAATTTCGCTTTAGCATCTGGTCATAACTGTGTGTTGAGTATATTCATGCTTTTGTTACTTTTTGCAAAATCACAAGGTAAAATACTAATAAACCAGGGTTCCTGAACTAGGTAAGAGAGGAAAAGGAAATAATGCTGTCTCTGTCTCTTGTCATTTCTGATAGTGGAGAGTCAGATAATCTCTCATGAAGTATGACATTCACTATTATATCCTTTGGCCCCAAATTACAAAAAAATGAGAAAAATGCATGCATTTCAAACACCATCCCTATCTCTCTTGTTACTCTCCCGTGTTTCTCTTAGTTACATAACCGGTTCTATAGCCATAATCCCCATATTGTTTTAGACTTAATCCCACAGGTAAGTAAATTCAGTGCTGTTTGCCAGAGTATTTGCTATAGTTCTCTAGTTATCTCTTCTAAGACAGGAGTTAATCTTCTAGTCTTCTAAGAATAGCTTATGGGAGCAATATCCTTTGAGTTTTTACATGTTCGAAAATGTTTGTCTATTGTTTTTACACTGGAGTGACAGTTTGGCTGGACACAAAATCTTGCTTGGGCCAGGCTTCCCTTCTCCGTCTTTGTGGGCATCACTCCACTGTCTTCTGGCAAAAAAAAAAACGTGGCTGTGAAACACTCGTTAAATGCAGCCTCAAGTTCACTCTCATAATTGACTTCGTCTTTTTTTTTTTTGTCTGGCTCCTGAAAGCACTTTATGAATAAGTCTAACAACTTTCCTAACTTAATATTTTAACGTTGAATATTCTGTCACCTGGCTTTGAACTTTGATCGTAAAACTTGAGCTTCTAGAACTTCAAATTGGTTCTGCTGTGTTGGTGAATATTAGAGCCCTCTCTGTCTGTCTTTCATGTCTGTAATCTCTTCAGTCCGCTTTAACTCTTCATTTCTGTTTCATTTTGTTCACTCTTTTCATCCTTCCTCACCTTGATTTCTTTGCATTGGTCCCCTCCCTTCTGCCTCTTTTCTGAGCTTTGCCAAAGTTCGTGTGATCTCTGTTTTGCTGCTTTGGCCTCTTGTTCTATAGAGGTGAGCAGTTCATTCTGTTTTGTTTTGCTGATTCATGGTCAAAATGTTCTGAGTTGCTTTGGCTTTTCCTGTTCCTGTTTCTTCCTCCCTTTTTCCAATTCTTTTCTCTCCCCTTCTGCCTGCATTATCTTTGTAGAGGTGAGTGATTCTCACTTGAGAGTGGTATGGGGTTTCATTAATGATTGCAGAGTGCCTCTGTCCTTTAGTGCCTGGGGACAGAGATGCTAAATGCTCTGCCGTGCATGAGACAAATTTGTAAAACCAAGAATCGCCTTAGCCTCGGAGGCAATAACGATGAGCTCCCTTGTTGCAGAAGGAGGCACCTGTTAGAGAGAGTTAGCACGAGAAGCAGCTCAGCTTTATCGACCCAGGACTGTGTGTGAGCTTTCAGCCACCAGGGAGACCAGCAAACAGACTGCTGACTCCTGAGCCAGGGTCTCACCCCTCTTCTCAAGCCACATCAGGCCTAGAGAGGCTTCTGCAAAAAGGGTGATGGATTTATCCCCCAGCCAGGGAAGGTGGACTTGGCACCTCCTTTTTGTGACCGCATCTTCTAGGGTTGCTGTTTAAAGATGGAGTGTGGACTTCTTTTGTCTTCTGGTGCGTTGTGTATTGTGTCTCTGCATCTTCTTAAAGATGGAGTTGCACTTCTCGTGCCCCTGTGCTTTCTGGAAGGGAGAAGTGCTGACTCTGTGTTGCCTTCTGGCTGCCAGGGGAGGCTCCCACCAAAATCCCGGCACACGATGTTTTCCCGTGCCAGGGGGCCCCAGCGTGCAGCCCATTCACAGTCTTTCCTCCTGAGTGATGGGGATTCCTCAGCTCCTGTGCTGGCTCAAGGCGGGAGGAAAATCCTTCTCAGAACCAGCCCTTCCTGGCAGGGACCCCCTCACTGCAGCAGTAGCAGCTCTCTTGGGTGTCAGCAGCCCTCATGGGAAAGCGCTTGTCTTCTCTCTCATAACCCAAGGGTTTGGTCACGGACACAGCTCACGCTGCTTCCTGCCCTGGCTCTGAGGAGACGGGAGTGTGTAGCTGTCATGGCAAGCCTGCGTGTATTTCCTGGTGCCTGGCAGCCAAGCCTCGGGGCCATTCACGGGTAAGCACCTATGTGACAGGCTGAAGATTATGTCACCTAATGCTCCTCCCCGATGCCTTCAATCTCCTAGGTGTGCAGAACTCAGGAGCTCACCAATCCTGGCGTAGCTGACGTCACACTCCGGCTCGATCGCAAGCTCCTGGCGACAGCAGGCTGGGACCACCGTGTCCGCCTCTTCCACTGGAGGACGATGAAGCCACTGGCTGTGCTGGACTTCCACACGGCGTCTGTCCACTGTGTGGCCTTCGCCAATGACGGCTTGCTGGCCGCGGGGTCTGGGGACCAGCGCATCAGTGTCTGGTCACTCTACCCAAGCACGTGACCCACTTGCCTGGGTGTCCAGCTCATGGTGCCTTTCGGGCGGGATGGAACCTTTCTGCACTTTGACATTGACGTGGTCTTGTGAAAAGCAGAACCTCAAGGACCCCCCCGGGGACCAGCAAGTCATAGAGTGCTGTCCATTTGTGAGATATTCCCAGAATTCCCAGTTTAATCAAGTTCATGTCTCTCTCATGATGTCCATCATCCATGTTCTGGAGAGAGTAACAGAGCCCGACTTCTGGACATTTGTAACCTTGGTAAGAGTCATTTGTTCATGACTGGCAGCATTGCCAACCTACGTGTATTTTGCAATAAATAAAGTGTCTTTTAAAAAATTTTTTAAATTTGTGTGTGTCCGTGTGTGTACTGTCGAATCAGATCTGACTGGTAGAGGAGGAAATTGTCCCTCCTCCAGCAGAGCATCTGGTGGATTTGAACTGTGTTCCTCTGGGGATTGCAGTGCAGCTTCTTGCCACTAGGCCACCAGAGCTCCCTGGAAATAAAGTGTCCTTTGCAGTAAATTAGGAACATGAAGGATTGAAGGAGATACTCCTCAGGAGACCCCTCCTACTTCCCCACTTTGCCAAAGCTGAGAGGGTCTTCTAAGCCCCCAGTCAGTACCATCCTCATTGCTGCTCTAAGTTGGTGAGGTGACTGTGGGTCCCCAGCTGCTCAGAGAAGACTGAAGCAGCCACCAATGTGCATGTGGTTCCAGGGAGAGCCGGGAGCCCAAGACAAGCAGGACAGAGGCCATGCCTAGTAACAGGAAAGTTCTCAACTCCTTGGAGAGAGTGAGGGAGAAAGATGGTGCTGACAGGACAAGACAGCGGCGACTTTCAGGTGGTTGCCCAGGACCAGGCCAGATGCATCCTAGTGAAAGCATGTCTTGGTGAATTTCTGCCAGTGCCAAGGCAATCAAGGTTCCTGCCAGCTAGCACATCCCAACGCCAGCCTCTGCCAGCACACATTTCCTACAGCGGCACCCTGCTCCTCCTACCAAAGTCTGTCTGCGTTACCTGGTTACCTGGTGCTGGTGTAACACATGCACGGCAAAGTGGAGTGAGGGGCTTGGAAGAACAAGCATTTATATGTTCATGCTTCTGGAAGCTGAAAGAATAGAAGTGGCTGTGACAAATCAAGGTCGTCCCACCCACATCTGTTCTTTGTCGGGAACCCCAAGTTGTCCTGGATTCCTTGCCATGTAGCTGATCCTTCCTACACATGGCATTTGTCTGTCTGTAGTCTGGAAGCAGAACATACTTGGGGTAAAACTCCTTTTTTTGCCTTTAGACCCTCGGACTGATTGGTCATGTGACATGATGTGACATTATGTAACTGCATTGTTGTTGTTATGTGCCGTCGAGTCGTTTGCGACTCATGGTGACCCTATGTACAACAGTCCTAAACCCTGCTCTATCCTGTGCCAACCACACTGCCTCTGACACACCCATCCCGATTACCCCAGTCACTGAATCAGTCCACCTCCTTCTCTCCTGCGCTGTCCCTCCACTCTACCCAGCATGATGTCCCTCTCTAAAGATCTGTCTCTCCTTAGAACATGTCTAAAGTATGTCAGACGAAGCCCCAGAATCCTTGCCGCCAAGGAGTCGCCTGGTTTAACCCTATTACCGAGGGTAATTTGCTTTACTTAACGCCAGCTGATTCAATCTCATTTTAGTCCATAATTACAACTTCACTAGTGTTTGATCACACAACAAGGAATTATGTTGTTGTTGTGAGGTGCTGCGTTGAGTCCTGTGCCGCCCTCATCGTCTCTGACACACTTGAACCCATTGCTGCAGTCACTGTGCCAGTGTATCTCGTTGAGGGTCTTCCTCTCTTTTGCTTCCACCTTTCCAAGCATGATGCCCCCCTCCAAGGAACAGCCTCTCCTAGCAACATGCCCAAAGGATGTGAGACGAAGCTTCATCATCCTTGCCTCCAAGGAGAACGCTGGCTTCTCTTTGTCTAAGACAAATCTGTTTGGGTTTTGGAAGTCCATAGGATATTTAGTACTCTTCTCCAACACCACTACTCAAAGGTATCAGTTCTTCTGTCATCTTTCTTCATTGTCCAGCTCTCAGGTGCACAGTAAGATTGAACAGACCTGAATCAGGAACACCTTAATCTTCAAGCTGACATCATTGCTCCTCAGTAATTTGGAGAGGTCCCTGACAGCAGACTTACCCAATGCCCTCCTTGCTGCTGTTACCAAGGGTGGTGATTGTGGGTCCAAGTAAGGTGAAATCATTGGCAATTTCCGTCTTTTCTCCATCTGTTATGATGTTTAGCAATCCAGTGGTGAGGATTTTTGCCTTCTTCAGTTGAGATACAGTCTATATTGAAGGCTATAACCTAATCCTCTGCACCAACCCTTTGAAGTCCTCCTCACTTTTACCAAGCAAGGTTGTGTGTCATCTGGATAACACAGATTGGTCATGAGTCTGTCTCAGATCCTTTTGCCACATTCTTCTTCATAGAGTTCAGCTTCTTGAATGATTTGCTCAGCATACAGCCTGAATAGGTATGGAGAGAGAGAATACAACCCAGACACAGCACCTTTCATGATTTTAAACTGTGCAGTGTTATCTTCAGGCAATGGTTTCTTGGTCTGATAGGTTTTGAATGATCATAATTAAGTGTCCTGGGATTCCCATTCTTTTTAATTAATTTTAATGAAAGTTTACAGAGACTTTGGATTTCCATTCATTCATTGTTGCACTTTTCTCCCCCCTCCCCAGTTCACTCTTGGAAAAGTAAAAGAAAAATTCTTTCATTGTTATACAATCCCTCCCCCCAAGTCCACTCCACTATGCAGCCTTCGTTCTGGACTCCTGTCATGACAATAATACCTAATCATATATCCCTTTTAGACAGTTCTCTCCCTCATCTGTTTCAATGCAGTATATATTATTTATCCCATCTTTCTCAGTCTTCCTCAACCCCAGTATCAGTCCCGTTTTACAACAGTGGCCCCGTGCAATATTTGTCCCTTTGTGACTGAGATATTTCACTCAGCATAATGTCCTCCAGGGTTACCCATTTTGTATATTTCACGAATTCCTTGTTTTTCAGTGCTGCATAGTATTCCATTGTGTGAATATACCACAGTTTCTCTATCCATTAGTTTGTTGATGGACACTTAAGTTGTTTCAGACTCTTTGCTATTGTGAACAAAGCAGCAATAAACGTGGGTGTGCGTGAGATTCCCATTCTTAATGCTACCCAAAGTTTGTTATGATCTATACATTCAAATGCTTCTACATAGAAAACCACAACTCCTCTGGTCTTTGATCTTTGATGTTCAATGCCTCAAACCTGTTCTTAAGATAACTTTTAAATTCAGGCAGGATAGACTCAAGGTGACATTTTGGGTTTTGTTCATTTTTCTTTTTTTAATGTTATTGTGTACCATAGGGCCGGAACTGACCCGTAGCTGACCCTCCAGTGGTGTTCAGAGGCCATTAATCACACAGGAGGAGATTGCCCATTCTTCTCCCATGGAGCCGCTGGTGGCCTCAAACCTTGTGCCTTTTGGATTGCAGCACAGCTTCTTGCCACTAGGCTGCCTGAGCTCCCTTCAAAGTGATATTTTGGTTCTTGTGAACTTGTTTTTGTTTTCTTCAGCTTCAATTTGAAGCAATTGACAGGCTGTTCCATAGTCAACACCTGGTCTGGTTTTGACTGCTGATACTGGGCTTCTCCAACTATTCTTTCCACAGATGTTGTCAGTCTGATTCCTGTGCAGTCTGTCAGGTGAGGTCCACGTGTAAACTTGCCGTTTGCTTTATTTAAAAAAAAATTGCGGGGAACTCTGGTGGCCTAGTGGCAAGAAGCTGCAACTACAATCCCAGAGGCACACGGTTCGAATCCACCAGATGCTCTGCCGGGAAAAGGAGGGACAATCTCCTCCTGTACCAGTCAGATCTGATTTGACGGTACACTCACACAAAAATAAAAAAAAATTGCTATTAATAAATCATTGAACATACAAAATCTCCAGCCTCATTTCTGTCACCAAGACCATGCTTTCCAACTACTGTTCTTTCCTCATTGTTTCCAACCAGGGAACTGTAGCCTGGCCTAATAGGGATTAGTGGTTAAGAAGTCACACTGCAGTGCCAAAGACACACGGTTCGAATCCATCCGCTACTCTATGGGAGAAGGTTCTGGGAAGTGCACCTGAAGCATCAGGTACAAAGGCCACAAATCACAGGATGGCATCTGTGCCGCATGGCATTGTTACAGGACACTGGCATATTATCAGCTTGAAATTACAGTCCAGCTAGACAGTGCCTACCTGGGTGTCAGGTGCAGCACTATTGAATTCCTAACCCTTAGTGTGTACTCTTTTAAAGATGAGGCCTTGTGGGGAGGGATTGTATAACAATGAAAGAATTTTACTTTTCAAAGAGAAGAGCAGACTGAGGGGAGGGAAGGGTGGGCAGGGAGAAAAGTGCAACAATGCATGAATGAAAATGCAAAGTCTTTGTAAACTTTCACTAAAATTAATAATTAAAAAAAAGAATGGGGAGGAGAAAAAAAAAGATGAGGCCTTAATTAGACTGAAAAGGGACCCGGAAGACTGGTCCCTGACCAGGACCACTTCCAGGCTCTCTGCTCCCACATTCACAGAAGGGGCTCTGTATCCTTGTTCCCACCTTGGCCCTTGACCATTTTGACACCATGAGCTGCCCACCGGCTTGCCCGGGGGCTCATAGCCACCTTCACCATGACCTCCACTCTTCACCCTCCCTGTGCTTTGAGCTGGTGTCAGCCAGGAAGGCCTGTCCCCAGGGCCAAAGCACCTGCTGGTGGTCGGCCTCCTCCTGGAAAACAGCCTGCAGGGGGAGCAGTCGAGTCAAGGCCACATGACCACCTGAGAGTGCCAGGTAGTGTGTCCCCATGGCTCTATGGGAAGCCTGTGGTCACTGGCAGCTGCAGAGGCCAGAGGAGTGCCCCTCACGACCAAAGTTTGTCCCTCCTCCGCTGTGTGTCCGC